TGGGGTGTGGACTCTGTGGTGTCAGTGCTGCTGGGCAGCAGGAATTGTTTAGCAGCCAAATCTGGATGCACTGTTAGCTCTCTATAGACCAGGATTAGAGGAGATGAACATGGAAATCACATATTAATGTCCACAAACACTTGGTAAATTCTGGGAAAGGAGACCAATAAAGGCAAATATTTTGTGCCTAATTTTGTAATTCATTTGAAGGTAAACTTGTGAGTCAGTATGTCTCTGACTCCAAACTCTTAATGACTGGAAATGGAATGGAAAATTCAGAAACAGACATCAGTGATAGAGGATGCTGTGTTCCATCATTGATTTTATTTTTATTTTTTTATTCTTATTTTTTGGTGGCTGGCCAAACAGGGATCCAAACCTGTGACGTTGGTGTTATAAGAATATGCTCTAACCAACTGAGCTAACTGGCCTGTCCGCCATCATTGATTTTAAAATATGAAATTGATATAAATATCTAATGACAGGAGATTCTTTAAGCCATTCTCAGAACTACTGTTTCACAGAGAATTTGGTGTACCTGCAAGGACTCTTTTGCAGCAGGTGCTTAAGTTGAAAATGGTTATAATTTTGCTCAGACATCAGAACAGACTTTCTTTGTCATTAGAGGATGGAGCCATGTTCTTGTTCTACCTCTTGTTATTAAATATTATACTTCTTTTAAACATCACACGATGTATATATTCATTTTATAGTAAAACTTCAAATAAACATGAAGCTTAGGCACTGAGAAATAAAGCATCCCTTTCTTGTCAAGTGGTCCACCCTCTCTCATGTGTCAGTGGGAAACCACTGTTGTCAGTTTTGTGGGAAGGGTCAGCGTAAGTCTTGTATAAATGTATTTGTACATGATTATGATATGTTAGAAAAAACTCTTCAATGATTGGTTTGTTGTGATATTTTATCCTGCAGCTTTTGAAATTTTACATGTTTTCATGTTAGGAAACAAGGGTATTTTGCTCTTTTTCATTCCTGTTGGAGCATTCTCTGAATGAGGACACATGCGTCTTTTATTATTTTTCACTGTTCAAGAAGCTGCAGTGGCTGCCTCTGAGCATGGATTTCTGAGGGTTCCTCCAGATTGGGTGATTGAAAGAGTGTTGCTTCTTCAAGGATGGTACACTTTCTGTTTTGCTAGATCTGTCTGGATTTTCCCCTCTGCCTACAGCTGCAAATGTATTCTCTCCCACCAAGCCAATGTGAGAGTTCTCACTCATTTGTGGAAAACTTGCTACTATATTCTTTTTGTATTTTGATTATCTGGGAGAAATGTCAACCCTTTGCATTTCCATTTTTCAGTTCCTTGGGAGTTTGAATAGGTTTCATTAATTTGTGAACATATGTATATAAAATGGTTTTTCATACTGTGCTTAATTTTTTTTCATGTATTTTAAGAGCTATATTATATTGTTTAATTTAATTCTTTATATATCCTGGTGTCCTTTTTTAGGTTACACATTT